AAAACATATTCCTAGATGATCACGTTAAAAAAAAAAAAAAAAAAATTCCAAGATTTTTTATATTCATCTTGTATGATACTCTCAATTTACCTTACTTGTATAGTGGGTGTTTAATAAATCTAAATAAAATGAAATGAAATTGAAATATAGGTTAAGTTCAATGGAAATTTCACAACTTCTATTTTCTCTGTGTGGAAGGACTGATTAAATTGGCTCCAATATAAATGTAGTTAAAATTCGAGTTACATAACACATCCGAACGAAAGGCTTGTTTTAAAAAATTATCAATATTACATCATAAATCAGTTAAGTTTTTCTCACTCAACACTTTTCAAATATTTTTTCTCAATACATTCATTCTAATTAATTTGATATTGTGAAATTGCATTTAACTTTTTTTTCTCTTTAATTCCTTTGAGAATTAAACTCTGTACAAGGAAATCATTTCGATTTTAAACAAATGATAAACTTTTTTATCTTATTTAAAAATAAGTAACGCACATTTTAGAGTAAAAATATCATGTCCAGTTTTCGAAACTTCTCCTAGCGGAAAAAAGATTTACAGAGACTGGCTCATCTGTCGTAAAACTGCAAAAGATTTCGTTTGTTTTCCCTGCTCTATTTTTGGACAAAAACATAATTTTTGCCCTGGATTTTAGGCTTTCCTCTTGTTGTGGAATGGTGAAGTAAAAGATAATTGACAAAAGCTAAGAGAAAAGATTAAAAGCCACCAGTACAGTGTTCAACACAGAAATCACTAAATCGTCTGGAAATTAGCCCTTGAAGCCTTGAAAAATCAGACCAGGATCAATTCAGAATTTGAAAAGTCAATAAGAAATGAGACATCTAAGTGGTATGAAATTTTACGCTGCGTCCTGGACGTCACTAATCTAAGTTTTCGAGGTGTGTTACCAATTTTTGTTCATAAATTAATTTTAATGTTGCTTTGAATATTAATATAGATGTAATCTTTATTTCAATGTTATGCTCATATTTGTGTAGTCTCATCAAACATGCTTCAGTTCCATCTAATTTAGATGGAACTGAAGCATGTTTGATGAGAAACTTCTATTAGATTCTAAAAGAAGTTTCTCGACACCAAAAACAAGGAACAAGAATGCAAGCGCACTATTTGAGCTAGAAAACTCAAAATGAGTTCATTATGACATGTGGTGAAACCGTTTTCGTTGCTATTATTGAAGAGGTTCACACTGCCATTTATTTTTACATTATTGTTGATGGAACTCCGGACGTGTCTCATGTGGAACAAATCACTTTTGTTCTCTAATTTGTCCGCCTAGGATCTGGCAACCAATGGATAGTAAAAGATAATGGATAGCAACCAATGGTAAAAGAGCATTTTCTGAAGGTAGAAAATCTGGAGAGAAAAAAGGTTCTGACATTGCTAAGCTGATTATAGACGTTTTTAATCAAAGCCGAATTAATTTAAAGAATTGAGGGGCCAGGGGTATGATAACGGGGCTAATATGTTCGGTCTATACAAAGGAGTGCAGGCCATCATTCTCGAAAAATCCTCAAACTTTGTTCATGCTTTGCAGTACGCATAGTCTTAATCTAGCTGGCGTTCATTCTGCAAAATCCTCTACTGTAGTCAAGAACTATTTTATAAAAGTATTATACACTTGAAAATTTTGACTGTGGCAACTGGGTAGTCCCTTCACCAAACGTCCCAAACAAAACTCAGTGTGCGCATAGAGGCTGTCCGGACATTGTCAAAATGACCAAAAGAAATACTAAAGTCTTTGAAACTTATTGAAGAACTTGATTTAGAAGATCATCAACTGACTTTAGTTAAGGCACTCAAAAATTGGATTCAATCATTGAAAACTGTCTTGAATTCTTTCTGGTTCAAGGCTCTCCCATGTGTCAACAATGTCTGCCTCCTCAGGAAGCATTTCTTTAGATGACGAGACAAAGTTTTTAAAGACTCTAATTGATAATCTTGACTAAGTACGTTCTTCCTGGCCCCAAATCCTTCAAGAAACGAAATTAGTTGCATTTGATTTAGCTTCGTTTGGGTTTCAACATGAGTCGATGAACACAGCCCACTTCCACGAAGGCAAATTAAAGGATTTTGAGGTGAACGTATTTAATGTTGCTCTTGATGCATTGCTTCAGCAGATAAGATACAGAATGGATACAGCACAAAAGACAACGAATATGTTTTTGTCCATATGGTGTTCTCCATCTCTTTCTAGTGATAAAGAAAAACTTAGTCAGAAGAAAAAATGCAAAGTACTGGCGAATCTCTACGTAAATGACTTAAGAGAAGAGAAGTTGATTGAAGAAATTCGTCCTCTAGATGTTCTGAAGCGATCAAATACTTTTTGACAAATAAAATCTCTTTCTTCTATCAAATTTCTCAACAGAACCAACTAGTAAGATCTTTAGTCAATATTTTCTTCGATCTGCATTTTGCCTCACATTTTTAATACAATCCCGATTTCAGTGGCTGAAGGAGAGCACTCTTTCAGTAAGCTTGCTCTCATCAAATCCAAATTGCGATAAACAATGACTGAAGAACGCCTTACTAACTTTATGGTGATTTCAATTAAAAACGACCTTGCCAAGGCTTTATTGTAAGAAAATGTCATCTCTAGTTTTGCAGTTTCGCAAAGAAGAAAGCGCGCAAAGTGAAATTAGTGTAATCAGAATAGTCTTCATAATTAACATTTTATTGATGAAATATATAATTCCATTCATTTTAAATTGTAATTGTATTTTTGTTTTATCATATATAGTTGTTGTTTTTGTTTTGTTTTTGTTGTTTTTGTTTTATCATGTATAGTTGTTTTATCATATACCAAGTTCAAATATAGAGTGTTTATGTGCAGCTATAGTTAATATAAAAATAATTATTGTTTTCATTAAACTGTAATGTGATAGATGACATACGGCAAATTAACAGTGAAATTCATGCTTTATTCAATATATACCCAGGAATTCAAAGTTAAAAATTCATGCTTTATTTAATTCAAAAAGAAAAAATTCAGGCTTTGTTCAAGAAATTCATGCTTTATTCAATATACCCAAGAATGCAAATTATTCAAAATATCCAGGAATCCAAATGGGACATCAAAAAAAAATTGACCCTGGGCACAACAATGTCTCTGTGCGGGTCTGCTCGACGGCCCTGCGTACAGTATGCAGAAAAAAAAAAATTACAATGCTTTTTTTTTCCGTATTCTAAAACTGTTAAATTTTTATGAATAATATGGCTACCTATGAGAATCTCACACTAAAGTCATACACCTTTTTCCTGGAAAAATACTTCACTGTTTATTGAAGAGTTGAATCTTTAATATTTACTGGATCCATCAACTCACTTTTGAATTTTTATTTCAAAAAAAATAAATGTTTTTATCGTTGTATTGTAAACAATACTTTATAGAATTTTTTTTGGACAAAACTAAACCTGATTTTTTAACGTTAAAGATATCTTTAGGTAAAAAACTTATACAATTCTATTATTGCTCATACGGTGAAATAACAGTTGATGTTTTTTTTAATTATTCAAACCATGTGGTCATGCAAACGACGTATTTTCTGGTGTTTTTAGTGAGACTTGTAGATTAAGCTTTAAATTCAGTTCAACCATTTTTTATCAACCAATCTAAAATAGATAAAAAAAGCTAACAAATATGTATATATATATATATATATATATATATATATATATATATATATATATATATATATATATATATATATATATATATATATATATATATATATATATATATATATATATATATATATATATATATATATATATATATATATATAACTGATGTAACACTTTTACTTTATCGCGTTTGTTACATTTTCCTATTAAATTTCTAGTATTAGTAAAATTATTTCATAATTTGATGGGAATGCTTTTGCATTTGTTATTTAATATTTATATCGTTAAAATCGGATCAATAAAGTTATTATTTAAAAAGCTTTTAAACAATGTTTTATTCCTTACACGCACAAAAAAAAGATAAAAAAAAATACAAAACACTAATGCTGAATAAAGTTTTTTTTATTCGTAGCTTTTAAAATAAACAAGTTTTCCAAAAATTTAATTTTTTTTTTCCTTTTTTATTTAGCTTTTGCATAATTTAATTTTTTAACTTATTTTTCAAAGTCTTAATGTTATTCAGCTTCCTTTAACGAGTTTTGTTGAAATTTTTCACTTGTTTACAAAACAAAAATTTCTTACATTTACCAGTCTCTAAACAAAACAATAACAGCTAAAACTTTGTATCATGTGAAGAATATATGCATCACAATGCGTTTATACTTTTGCACCACTACACCACTGGTTGCTTGCCCAACTGTGTGCTTGAACTTAATAAAGCTCTTTTTGATTTATACTGATAAAATCCAGTAAATAAAAAATAAAATAATAATAATAAAGGTTGATATCCATTTTAAATATCAGACATTGTTCCAACTAAACGTTTTATTTCCGAAAATTAAAATAAGAATCGAGCATGACGTTTACAAAGCTAGTTTAATATTCAACTTTTTATAAAAAACGTTGTGGTTTTGCTTAAAAATATTATACAATGAGATTTTGGATGGCAGATGCTTTTATAGTAATAGATCAGTTTATAGAAGTTGTCAAAGCAACAGCTGCACATCTTTTTTAGTTAATAGATTAATATTTTGCGTTTTACTTAACTTTCCTCCAAAATAAGTTTTATTTTTATTAAGCTACTAGAAAATATTATATAAAAATAATAAAATTTACAAACACACAAAGTATTATATTATTAAATGAACATACAATTTTTCTTTACTTTTAACTAAAAACCCAAACTCTTTATTATACTCTTAATTTTATATCTAACATTTTAAGTCAATAAAACGTTATATGGAAAAATAAGAGAAACATTTATTTTTTTGAGAGGTGATATGACCGTATTCAGCCCCCTGTTCAATATCTTTAATTCGCAAATGTTTTTTTTACATAAACAAGATAATATTATGAAGATAAAGGAGGTTGGTTAGTCGATTTTTAGGAGGTTGGTTAGTCGCTTAGAAAAATAAACAGGAGTATTGAAATATTTCAATCAAGAACTGATAAATGCTATAAGGAAAATGAAGATTTTATAATGTTGTTTTTAAAATTTGTGAAGTTTTACATCCCAAAAAAACTCTATGGAGCTTGTAAATTGGGGTTGTGTTTTCTAATTTTTTTTTTTAAATCACTTTTGTAAATGAAATTTTTGTAAAGTTAAGAAATTCTTCAAAACTAAATAGTCTTGATTAACTTATTTCAGGGAAGATTTTAATCCGTCATCTAGTAACTACCAAATATTAGCATTTCATTAAGAATTGCAAAATTTAATGAAACGTGACATGAAAGCACTTTTAAAAGTAAATGGGACTAATAGAAGAACAAATTGTGGAACGTGTAACATGAATTTTATTAAATTAAAGCCGGAGACAAATTTAGCGCTTATGATGTGTCTTGTGTTTTTTATATATATATGCTTGGGTGGTGCACTATTTCTCTTATTGGAAGGTCAATCGGATTCAAAACTTACTCAAACAGCTTTTGAAAAATTGATAGTAAGTTCATTTCAATATATTTCATCAAAATTGTCGAGTAAGCATATTCTGTATAATTAAAATTTTTAATTTCAACTTTTAATTAGTACAGTTTAATATATTTTGAGTTTAACTATATAAGTTGTACTCTTCCGCATTTTAGAAGCGTCTTAACTTTTCTTACAATGACTACCATTTACAAATAATTAAAGATTACTGCGACGAAACTAATGTTATTGAAAGGAGGAAGTTACCAGAACACGAGAACCTTTGGAACTTTTTTGAGTCGACTGATTTCACCTATCAGATAGTTACAGCGCAAGGGACCGGTAAAAACTTAAATTTATTATAATTCAATTTTTTAAGTTAGTGATCGCTGACATATTACAAAATGTTTGTAACCATGCATTCTTTAAATGCAACCATGTTTTAAAATAATTTAGTTCAATAAATGGTTGTTTTCAAAATGTTTTGAAGCATCTAGTGATCTCAAGTACAATACGATAAATATAGAATTTAATGGAAAATTACATTAGCTCGTCTCTGAATTTTCTTCAACGTATCCTATTAACTTTAGTTTTCAAAATAATCTAATTATATAAATTAATTAGTTAATTACCTAATTAATTAGATATAATTAGATTACTGGAAAGTAAAAACTAGTTAAAAGAGTAGTTTTCTTTTTTTTTTTTTTTTGTTGCCAAAAAACAAAAAAGAAAAAAACCACAAGAAAGCATGGTTACTTAATATAGAAAATAAGAATGATAATCGCTGAACAATGTCGGGCAAGAGATAATAACATATTACAAGAGGAGGATTGGTAAAAGAATTTTGTTATATGCAAGCAATCTATTTAAAATATCGTGTTATTTCTAATAAATGTGAATAATATTAATAAACGTAAATAATATAAATAAATTTTTATTCCCTAAATAAAATTTTTAACTTATTTCTCTTTTGGGGAAAGTATTTTGTTTAACAAAATTGGTAAAAAATAAAGTTAAATAATGTTAAGGTAAAGTTTTTGACATTATATACTTACATGTAAATAAATATCTCAAGATTAATTTGATAAGTAGTCTATTTTAATAAAAATAAGATAGATCTATAAACCTTTAAAAAAAGAAGTACTGTCTCTTTCTAAACAACATTCTGTTATATAAGATTACTATTATGAGATCCTATTATCCAGCATGTACTTATGTGTTTTTTTATACTATTATCCAGCATGCACTTATGAGGTTTTTTTAATACTATTTTAGCATGCACTTATGTGTTTTTTTATATTATTAGGACAAACTTCTCGTATTCTTTACACAAAAGGAGGAAAAGTAGCATACATTTTTGTTGTTTTACTGGGTGTTCCATTAGCTGCATTGACTCTCCGAGCAACTGGACAGCGCTTAAACATGGTTGTATATTCAACAATACGTTTTTTTAACGTAAGGTTATTTCATCGTCAGCTGACACCTAACATTCACATAAAAGCCTTAGTTTTAAACGTGACATTGCTTTTTATGACTATTGGTATTGGTACCATTATGTACGTGTCAACACAAAATTGGACAATTATTGATAGCTGGTATTATACCGTTAGTATAATATTTACTATTAGTAACAGTCATGAAAAAATTATAAACAATAACATAAAAATCAATTCTAACAAGGATAAACTTTTCAGAGCTTTATTTAACACTTACAGCTTTGCAGCGTTTACAGTTGTTTCAAGCCTTGCGTGGAGTGCTCATTTATTTACAAGACATATGAGGTTTAAAGCGCAAAATCAAACTCTTGCAAAAAATGGTGACAATCGTGTTCACTGCCCTTGGGTTGAAGTTACCCACGGTCAACCACTATCTCCGTGTAAAAGTAGCAAAGAAAAAGACACTGATCGAGAATCAGTGTGTTAGGCATATAGAATTATAAAATACAACCATTATAGTTTTTTTAAATATTATGTAGGATTTTAAATTTATTATTTCAAACATTGAGTTTGTATCAGAGGATTATTAGCGGGATGTGAACTGGGATAATTGATTCCTAGCACTTCTGGTTAATCCAATGATAATAAATTAATAGATGAGCTTATTAATCTGAAACAAAATACAATAACAATTAAATAAAAAAGAATTCGAAATGAAAAATACTTTATTTTGCATCAAAACTTCACAAATCTTAAAATATTTCTTCAGCTATATTTGTATAAAGCTTTATTAAAAAAAAAAAAATCATAATTATTAATAAAAAGCAATTTGTATTAGGAACTTTTATAGACCTATCCAAAGCGTTTGACATAATTAATCATGACATATTACTTTAAAAAAATGGAAAATACGGAATAAAAAGTACTATTCTAGATTGGTTTAAAAGTTATCTCTGCAACACAAACGCGTACCCAGCATTTTTTGATGTTTCAGACAGGACACTTCCACACATTGAGCAAACTCCAAACTTAAGTATGTTTATACCTATGCCAAATGAGGAAGTCTTGCAAAAATTTTGGGACGGCGGAAGCTTGGGAACAAAAAAGCCCTAAAACGTTTTCACCCCCAGCCCAAACGTGAGGGCACTGATGTAATAAAATTTTTAACTTAAGTATCTTAAACTAAACTTGAATTTATCGGCAGATTTTAAATTTCATTAAAAAATATTGTAAATTACAAAAGTTATGACCATGCAAAATTTACACCCCCTCATTTTGAGGGGGTTGAAAATTTTGTATGGTCATACAAACACAACAATGTGTTATTTCGAACTATAATAAATATTCAAAGTTACTAAAAATAAAACGAGGGGTTTCCCAAGTTTCCATTCCTGGTCCTCTTTTATATTCAATTTATATTAACAATTTTCCACAATTCCTAAAAAAACTCGATGCAATCATGTTTGCTGATGACACAAATTTGTTTTATTCATCAGCATCAATTAAAGACTTGTTTGAACGATGACCTTGATAATCTAAAAATCTGGTTTAAAGTAAATAAATTATCTTTAAATGGAGAAAAATTAAAATACATCTTGTTTCATTCCAACCTGCAGATACATAATATACCAAGCTTGCTACCTTTACTAAAAATTGATAACATGAATATTAAAAAACTGAAACAAATAAATTTCTTGGAATAATTATTGACAAAATGATTTCTTGGAAACCCCATAAAAAAACAATAAGTACAAAAACATCAAAAAGTATCGGCAAACTCTACAAAGTTAAACCTATACTTTCTCAAGAAAAGCTAAAAATTCTCTGCTTTTCTTATATACAAAGTTTATCTAACAAATGTTAATATTGTTTGGGGGAGTACAAATTAATCTTAACTAAATTATCAATATATACAACTAAATTACGCATCAAGATTGATTTATAAAAATATTGATAACAAAAATAAATTTACTCATACCTTACTTAAAAACTTGATCCCTTACTTAAATACTTGAATGCATTAATAATCTACTAAATTAACATCTATCAAAATATTTTATTTATGCTCAAATATAAACTCGGAATTGTTCCAACTTATTTTACTAATTTTAAAGCTTTTTTCAAATCAACGCACAGTGGGCCAGAATTCACTTTTACTGGACAAAATTCATAACTAGTTTAATATTTGAGCTATATTCCCTAAAATTAGCATGAGTAATATGATGTCTGCGGTTTTTATGAAAGTAATATTTTTTTATTTTGTTGCTACGGATACCTTTATTTTGCTTAGCAACAACCTATTTTGTTGTCTGCAGATATTTTATAAAAGTGATAATTTTTTTTAGTTGTTATGGATACTTATATTGCGTAGTTACCAGATACTTTCCTTAGTTACAAAGTGGTAAAATATGATATTTGAATATTTTATCGGATTTTTGACCCACCTATATTAAATAACAGTTGAGTATTTAGGTAAATAATGTTTTTGCAATAGTAAAAACAAAAAATAGTGCAAAAAAGCATTGTCAATTTTAAATTACATCAAAAAATAATAAAACAATAACATTGTTTAAAGGTTGTTTAAGTAATTGTAAAACATCTGAAGGAAATGCTTTATGATTTGTTTGGTGTGATGTTGATTTACGCAGTGATGAATTAAGTAGATCACTGGAAACTAGAAGTCTATTGATAAGATCATTATTTGTTGATTTTCTGAATATTTTTCGGCTGAAATTATTGCGATAAAATTTGAAGTCTTTAATTCTTGCCTCTTGAGCTTCCTCTGGCATAAGTCCGATAGGTAATGTAAGGTTTTTAATTATGTCATGTCCATGTATCAATACTTTGTGAACTGATTGAGCCATGTAACACATTGGATAAAGGGACACATATAGTCTAACAGTGTCAAAACAATAATCCTTGAATTTTAAGCTGTCTATTTCATATCCTGAAGAGAGTGTTACCAAGATAATGTAAAATCTAACGCCTTGAGGTATTGCCCTCATTGCTTGTTCCAGAACCACAATTTTTAGGGAAATTAACAACAAGCCTTATTTTGTTCATAAAATCAGTCTTAGTCTTTTGTTTAGCTAGAGATGCCTTTTCTTTGTGTTCCTTAGATCTTGCTTGCCACTTAGTTGTTTCTTTTTATATACAATGCACAAAACCATAACAAAAAATCAAATCCATGCATGAGGACTGAAAAAATCATATTTGAACTTTCTCTTACATAAGCTCAATATTAAGGATATTAAGGCTATTCATACTTTTTAGAGAGACACTGAACAGCATTGGTATAAATTAGTTTTTTCAGATAATATTGTTTGAACTTTCCTATCAATCATTGTAAGTTCAATAATACAGTTCACTTGAATAGAAGAACCACAAACCTTTAATAAAATCATATTCAAGCTTTCTATCTTACTTTCATAGACCATCCAGATTGTATTTTAAAAATCCAAAAATTGTTTGGGTAAAATATTCGGAAAAATTCCGGAATATATTTTTCCTTATTTTTGTTTTAATTTTGCTTTTAGCTGAACTGTTTCTAATTTCTTTTTTAAATTTTCTTTATTTTTTTATGAGTTTTGAGTAAAAAAATTTAAAAAACAAATATATTAAAAAAATTTACACCTAAACTTGAATGTATAGAAAATATTTTGATATCCGGAAAAACTAAAAGCTGAAAAAAATATCCGAAATTCCGGAAATATACGGAAAAGGATAATCACTACACCCATCGAAGAAGATGAGTACACCATGATTTTCTTCGATCACAGATTCCTCGGATTTTTTGTATGCAAATCTTATGGGTCTACAATGAGCTGTGGATGACGAATTTTGGTTTTTTCAAATAGACACCTTTCGTTACTGTTGTTAAATCCAGTCAAATCCAATGGGACTAGACAAGTAATAAATAATGATTCTTCACACTTTGAATCTCTGTTCATGTCAGGTTCTGATAAAACTTGTTTATAAATGCTTTGGATAGTAGCACCATCAAAACCAGCTTTACACGTGAGTGTCATTGTTTTTATTGCTTTATCGTTCGTTATCAAGTGTCTCAGCACAGGTTCCTGAGCTGCACAGATTCTCTGCAAAGTATGAATCATTAAATATTTTAAAGAAACTGAAGCTAAATAGTCCTGTTATACTATTAAATTTGCAGGAATTTGCATTTTAATTTTGCATCTTTGGCATCATTGTAAGCGGGGTAGATGTTATATTCTTTCTCCTAGACCCCACTTCTAATCAATTAATAGGAAGCTTTTGTCAGACTGGCATTAATTATTAAAGCCAGTGCTTCGTCTGCTTAATATTTAGTTGCTTTATCTGTGTTTGAAATATTTAAAACGTTCTTGGCAGCACTAACAATAGATTCATCTCTAAATTTTACATTAGCAGCAAAAAATAAATCATTGGATGAATGACATTCAAGTAAGCAAGATACACGCCGTTTTTTAGTTTTATTAAAACTATTGTCAAATGCAACTGGTTTTCGACCACGTCTACTTGCAGTTGGTTCGTTGTTGTTTTTTTCTAACAATTAAATATTCATTAAGCCAATTTACAAACTTCTTTTCAAAATTTTTAACAGTATAATTTGCAGATTTCCACTTTTTTTTATACAAGTAAACAAATTGTTGAACAGCATGTCTAAAAGCAACTTTTGGCTGAATAAATTTCAATATATCTTCAGTTTTGAAATATTAAGGTTGCTTTTTTTTAGAAAAAATTATGAATGTCTAAGTCTATATCTTTTTAGAAAAAATTATGAATGTCTAACCATATCTAAATAATTCTTACAATAAATATTTTGTATTTAAAAGTTTAATATTATAATATATACGCCGCGTGGACTAATAATTGTTAGTAATTAAGTTATTACAAGTGTTAGTAATTAAAATTAAAAGTATTTTATTTACTGTTAGTGTTACCATTTAAATTACTAACAACTCCCGAAAATATGATGTTTATATGCTATGCAAAGTAAGGTAGCCATAGGAACCAAAAAAAATTAACCTAATAAGAATTGTGAATCTCATTTTAATACATACCCCCAATATTGTGTACTTAGTGCAACTAAAATACTGTTAAAACAACGTTAATCAAAAAATGAGTTGTTGCTATGCAAAATTTAGTACCATAACAACCAAGTTAAAAGATATATAAAATCTGAATGGGGATTTAAGGGGACGAACAATCAATTAAATTTGATTGAAGCATCATATAGTTTAAATAAATATAAGACAGCACATGGTAAATTGTGGTAATTATTAGTTATAGTACTGCAAAATAAAAATTTCTTAGAGATTTTTTTTTTAAATCTGTGATTTTCAAAGTAGGGTAAAGTAGGGTAATTTCGGCAGGGAGATAATTTCGGCACCACTTCAAAAGACACCTAAAAATATTTATTTAATGAAATATCAAAACTATAATTGAGTATTACAGAAAGATAAACAGTTTTTCTAAAAATATTGGTTTAAACTTCTATTTTTACATTATAGGTACGTTATTTTATGATTATTAGCTTTTTCTTAACATTTTTTCCTTTTTGAAAATAGAGGATAAATGATTTTTTCCGAAAATTTCTACCAAAAATTTGTATTTATTTCATTTTAAAATATACACTGAACAAAATGTGAGCAACACTAAAATTAAACTCAAAGTATTTTACAAGATATAAGAGTTTTCCCAAGGACTGCTTTAAGGAGATAATTTCGGCTTATAAATAGTTCTTAATTTCGGCAGTGCCGAATTTGCCGACCTGTTGTTTCTCCAAAACTAAAATGGAAATAAGCGTTTCAAATATTATGTAAAGAAGAAATTGATTTTAGTAACTCAGATAATATTAAACTAATAACGAGTTAGTAAAAAAGTGAATTTAGTTAGTGTCACTGTGAAACTTATCAAAATAATAGTTCCCCACCATATATTTTAAATTTATGTCATACATAACAATATGTATATAATAAATTTATAATTTGTTATATACAATAATTATTATTGTATATAACAAATCATTTATTAATTATATACATACTGTTGAATATTATTGAATAATATACATAGAATAATAATATATATATATATATATTTATATAAATATATATATATATATATATATATATATACATATATATATATATATATATATATATATATATATATATATATATATATATATATATATATATATATATATATATATATATATATATGTATATATATATATATATATATATATATATATATATATACATATATACATATATATATATATATATATATAATATATATATATATATATATATATATATATATATATATATATACATACATATATATATATATATATATATATATATATATGTATATATATATATATATATATATATATATGTATATATATATATATATATATATATATATATATATATATATATATATATATATATATGTATATATATATATATATATATATATATGTATATATATATATATATATGTATATATATATATATATATATATATATATATATATATATATATATATATATATATATATATATATATATATATATATATATATATATATATATATATATATATATATATATATATATATGTAAACATTATTTTACAGCATCATATAATGAGTTCAAAACGTGTAAAATATGGTAATTGGTCACAAGAATCATTAAAAATGGCAGTAAATGCAGTTTTAGTTGATGGTTGCTCGAAATATTCTGCTGCTAAACAATATAAAATACCAAGACAAACACTACATGACTATATAAAACGAGCACCTGTTGATAATTTTGTTAAAAAGTTACGTGCAAGACACCCAACAATACTCTCAGCTTTTCAAGAAAAAGAGCTCGTAGAAGTTCTTCTGACCATGTCACAGAGATTGTTTGGTTTGTCTCCAAAAGATGTAAAACAAATGGTATTTCAGTTTTGTGAAGAAAATAGAATTATTCACAAATTTAATTGTGAAATTAAGTCAGCAGGAAAAGAAGAAAAGAATGGTTTAGGGGTTTTTTGAAACGCCATAATGAACTCTCTGTCAGAGTTGCTGAGTCAACGTCATTGCATCAAGCCATTGGTTTTAATAGAATAAAAGTTAATCGTTTTTACGATGAACTAGAAAAAATAATGTTTAATGCTAATAGGATGCAGATTATTCCACCATCAAACTTATTCAACGTAGATGAATCTGGATTGTCTATTTGCCATAAACCAGGAAAAATTGTTGCTCTTAAGGGAAAACACAGTGTTGGTGGCTTAACAAGCTCCGAAAGAAGTAAAACAATCACAATAGTTTGTTGCCAATCAGCAAGCGGGTTTTTTGTCCCTCCGATGTTGATCTATCCACGTATTCGAGTGAAACCTGAATTTTTAGATAAAGCCCCAATAGGTTCTATTTCTGGTGGCAGCAAAAATGGCTGGATAACAACTGAGTTGTTTGAAATATGGTTTGATCATTTTTTACAAGCAGTCCAGCCTCAGTCAAGAAACCAACCAGTTCTTCTAATTTTAGATGGACGTTTAAGTCATAAAAAAAATCTTAGTGTTATTAAAAAAGCGCACCACTCAAATGTTATTATTTTATCACTTCCATCCCACTGCACCCACAAACTGCAACCACAAACTGCAACCACTTGATGTTTCGTTTTTTAAAAGCCTCAAAATATTCTATGATCAGGAGGTTAGTACTTGGCTTCGTCACCATCCTGGTCGTCCCGTAACTGAACTAGAGGTTGGTGAATTATTTGGAAAAGCCTATGGGAAAGCTGCAACTGTTCAAAATTGTCAGTCAGGGTTCAAAAAATGTGGAATATATCCATTTGATAGAAATGTGTTTACTGAAAAAGACTTTGCTGCAGCCAAGGCTACTGATCACTCGTATGTTGTATCAAAAATTTCAAAACCAAATAATACCTCTGAAATGCACCCTACTCTCAACAATGGGTTAGACTCTGCTAAAGAATTAGATAATATTGATTTTGTTACAGATTGTGTTATTGACACTCAAAAAGGTAAATCGTCATAAATGTTGTATTATTTTTAACATCTTTCGCATTTTATTTAAAATAGAAATATGACTTTTTTAAAATCAAGCAAAATATTAACTTATCTGTTGTTTTATTAACCTAAAAAAAGGTTTCTTAAAGAAAGTTCAAATTTTTTAAAAACATTTTAACTATTTCTTATAATTTGCGTGTTGCCTATTTTTATTCACCCTCTTTAGTTGAATAATTTTTATTTAGAATTTATTTCACCAAATTCATCATTTACACTTCAGAAGTCATCAGAATTAGCCACCTCACACGATGAAACCTCACAACCTTATGGTGTTACATTTGGATCACTAGCTGGACTTGCTGTAGATGGTGGCATGAAACATGTGCTGCTATATGTGGTGTTTATACTAAAAAAGTATTTACTTGTGATGACTGTATAAAGCACTGATTCTTAAAAAAAAAGTTATATGTCATATATTGATAAAATGTGTTTTAACTTTCTTAAATAAATCTCTTATTAAAAAAGTTTCCTTTGAGTTTTGTTTTTTATTTTTTTAAGTTTAACTATTGAAGTTATGTAAAATATTATTTTATGAACTACTTATGAGCTTATAAACATAAATTCTTATTTAAACAGAATTTAGAAATAATCATCGAAATCGTAGAAATTAGTAATCGTTTCATTAACAATTATACTTTGGAAGCACATTTATATTTAATAAGGTTTCTGTTTTGGGTGACATTCATACCTTAATAAAAAAGGTGACATTCATACTTTAAAAATACATGACATTCATACTTTAATAAAATAAATAGGTGGTTCAAAAATTATTATTTTTTGCAACTGAAACGCCCTTAATTAAGTGCCAATTAGGTGTAACAAATTCTATTTAAGAGACAATTCTTTATACAATCCAGATTTATAGCTGTTTATAATATTTTAAATATATTAATGCGTTTTCAACAAACTTCTTAATTTTCATAACTATGCCGAATTTACCGTACCATAGTGCCGAAAATACCATACTAGGTCGCTAATTTCGTCATTTTTGAGTATTTTGTAAAACAGGTTTTACGTAAAACTTTCTAAGTTGGAAACAATTTTTTAACTATTATTTAATAGATATATCTGCAGTGCATCGATATGCATGATTTTTTAACATTATTAAAGCAACCGTTGTCTATAAACAACAAAATAGCTTAATACGCCGAAATTACCCTACTTTACCCTATAGCTGAGATAACATACTATGACATATTTATTTCACACATTCACATTGTTTTTTCTTATCTTTAAATACTCTAGAATAACATGTACTAATTATTTGTTTTAAAGACCTAGATGTAATTGAAATATAACGCAGCGTTGATGTCACTGTAAATTATTTTTTTATAATTATTTTTTCTTTCCTAAATTTCAATATTCAAATGCTTAGAGTCCTGGTAACTAAGGGATTTAATATAAATGAGTCTTTTTTTTTAAAATTTTTTTTTGTTCTTAAATTTTACAACTTTGTGATTTGATAAATATTCGTTAACAATGTATATATATATATATATATATATATATATATATATATATATATATATATATATATATATATATATATATATATATATATATATATATATATATATATATATATATATATATACATGATTGTTATTAAGAAATAAAAGAACGCAGGAACTCGTAGAAGACCGAAGGTCTTGTAGACGAGAACCGCTAAAGATAACAAATAATTAAGAATTAAGAATTCAAAACATTAACAATTTAAAAAAAAAAAAGAAAAAGAAAAAGGGTTCCGTTATAAATACAAAGATGCGTTATACAGTTTTACCTTTAACAAAATTGTTAAGCTTTTTGTTAAAGGTTTTGTTATACAATTTTTAGGTACCTTTAACAAAAGTGTTAAACAACTATTTACAAGTTGTTAAATTATAAATTTTATTAATGAAGTGTTAAATATAAAGTTAAAAAAGAAAAAAAAAATTAAAAGAATATTGATATATCCTCTCTTAAAAAAATGACTTTTTTAAGTTTTTGTTTGAAAAAGTGATAGCTAACTTCTTGAGAAAAGTCAAAATTCTTTAAAACTATTTTATTCCAAAGTAATGCTCCTCGAAATGAAATACAGTATTTTCCAGAATTAGTTTGATAAGCTGATTGACGAATGTCATTATCATTTCGTAAAATGTACTTAGTTTTTTCTTTTTTGTTATACAAATTATGAAAAAGTACCGGAGAAATATTGTTTTTACATTTAAACATAAAGCATATAACGTTAAAAATATTAAGCTTATATATATTTAAAACTTTCATTTCAATTAATAGAGGCTTGGCATGAGTAAATCGATCCTTAAAATTAATAATCCGTGCAACATGTTTCTGTTGACGATAAAGTTTACTTTTATTAGTACTACCCCACGCAATGTTCGCATAGTTTATGTAACAATGAATGAGCGAATAATATAGTTTAAGTAATATATGTTTATTTAAAAAACTCCTTGCTTTGTACAAAATTCCTATGCTTTTTGATATTTTACTACTCAAATTTTTTATGTGACTTTTCCATGATAAATTTTCATCAATATAAATACCAAGAAAGTTTGTAGCTGTTACTTTTTTTAGAAGTATATTATCAATAAAAAGCAGTGGCATCTCATTTGGTATAAGATTTTTTTTTGTGATTTGGATGGAAAAAAATCCATTTTGTTTTATCAATATTAAGAGACAGTTTATTTGTCTTAAACCAATCAGAAACTCTTACTAGTTCATTATTGATATTCTGAAATAACAATGTAATATAAAAATAAATAGATAAAAATAAATTCTTGTCATCTGCAAACATAATCGTAATATAAAAATAATATAAAAATAAATAGATAAAAATAAATTCTTGTCATCTGCAAACATAATTGTCATTAAATTTAAAACTTTATTAATTAATTTTTCCTAATCTGTGTAGATACTAAAATTAAATAGGTTTTCAAGATTAAAAAACTAAAATTTTTCCCATTTTGTCCACCCACTGTGCAACGCCAACAGATATATCACACAAGGTAACTTCACGTTGCCCATGAAAAAAAAAAAAAATTCTTGAGATTTTCAATTATATACCGTGGCCCCTATTTATACAACAAAATAATACTTCAAAATATAAACTTACTAAACTGAATAATCTTATTGCCCTGAAAAAAAAACTAAAAGATCTTATAATTAAAAATGTTTTTCAGATTTGATTTTGCATCAAAAAGATCTAAAACAATTTTATCGATAAGTATTAAATGTTAAAGATAAATAATATTGATAACAGTTAAAATAAAAAAATAGAGTTAACAACTATACATAGTGAGATATTACTGAACAGTAAACCTTAAAACCCAGTAAGCACGGACGTAAAAAAGACGTCTTTTAAACGTCTTATACACGCTTTAGACGTCTTTTGAACGTCTTTTGAACGTTTCGGACGTCTTTTGAACGTTCAAAAAACGTCTTTTTTTGGTCCGGTGCTCACTGGGAAGGTTAATGTGTGATTTGTAAAATTACTTCAAAATTTTTAGTTACATTAAATACATGGATTAATAGCCAGCACTTTATATTATAAACAACAAAGTTTTAAATTAATTTTTTTAAACCACTGTCAAGCGCACATGCACATAACAGTATTCTAAACTTTTTAAAGGCATTGTTAATATGCGTCGTGCGTAAATTAGTGTTCTCATTTTTTAGATATTTTTAAAATTTCTTTTACAGAAAAAAGAGAAATTTTTTCTTTAAAAGTAAAGGTAAAGTGATGTTTAAACTAGTTTTCGAACTTTTTTAATAATATATAAAGGTGGTTCATCACCAAAAAAAAATTGAAAAAAACATATTATTATCTTATCTAATAGAAATTTTTATTCTGTTTAAGATTTTTGAAAAAATCTTTATTTATTTATAATTTGTAATATTTAACCTTTTAGTTGAGTACATCAACAAATGAGTCCTTAGCAACGCCTTAGTTACCAAATTAAAACCTATCTAGTTCATTGGTAAGATTATTATATGAGAAGTCTTCATTATTTGAACCTGTTATTATAACACAACTATTTTAAAACTGCATTATGGGCTATATCAACATAGAAATGTTGTCATGTGGTGTGCTTGTTAAAGTGAAATTGCAGTGTTGTTGAAGTAATACTTACATTGTTTTTCATACTATAAAGTCTTAATTTTCATATTGTATAGTAAATAAATGAAAAATAGTAAAAATCTATCACGAAGAAAGAAACGTTGCAATGTATTTTATAAAAAGAAAGAAGTTAAATCACTTTCTAAAAGGATAACAATCCTCAACTCAATAGCCTGCGAGGAGCTAAAAATTAAATCCAGATTGCAATCAAGTTTTTCCTATGATAATAAGAATTATAATATTATTTAAAGAAAATAAAACTTTTAACTTTTAATGACTATTTTTGTTGTATGTAGCTTAAATGATGTTACTTTGGTTGTCCTGTATGTAGATTAAATAATTTTACTTCAGTTGTCCTGTATGTAGCTTAAATGATGTTACTTTAGTTGTCCTGTATGTAGCTTAAATGATGTTATTTTAGTTGGCCAGTTTCATTTTCATTTTTCAGCGTTTTTTCTAAATTTTAAATTAAAGTAAACAGCAAAGTACTCTTTGATATTATCGCTATAATATAATTATGAATAATATTCTGAAAGATATATTATAACAATAATAAGGAAAAAGGTGAAGAAATGCTGTTTTTCATTGGTATAATGATATAAAACTTTCTTTCTTTGTAAATATTTTTAAAAAATTTGTTTTTTTAAGCATTTTTATAAATTGTACATTTGAGGTTCCAAACTTCTCATAGCTCTAGGTCAAACCAGTAGAACGAAACAGAGGAATATACCGTTTTTAAATTTGATGTTTTCTTATCAATACATTTGTAAGAGTTAGCATAGTTTCAGGTTTGAGCATTTGATTTTCTAATACAATAGATGAATAATTAAAACAATAAATTTTAAGAATAATAAAATATATCTAAGGCGGATTCAATGAAATACTCGATTCAAACCAACACAGAGTTATTGATGGTGACGATAAGGAAACTTATTATAGAGAAAATTAAGCTCTGGTATTGGTACACTGTAAAAATATGCAAGAAACATATAGCAACATCATAGCAACATCGTAGCATTTAGTAAGAAGTTTTAACTACATAAAAGTAAATATTCTCTGGCATCAGACTTTAAACTCATTAACATGTGTTGGGAATTTCAGAATTGAAAATGACTTTAATAATTACACAACTTACTCTTTAAATAAACAATTTTATAATTTAAAGATATTTATAGACTCATAGTTAAAAATAAAGCTGTTCCTGGTGTGATGGGAGGTTGTTCTGAAATCTGGCAATCTCACAAGCTTTGGAGACTTAGTTAAGTGTTTTTACTAGTGTTCTGATTCAAGCTTTTCTCATGGGTTTGGTAA